GTGTGTATATATACACACACACGCACATATATATAGTTTTTTCTGCTGGATAGTTAAAACATCATCATGGAACAGCATTTGAGAATCCCAGGGTAGAACAATTGGCATTTACTGAGTATTCAGTATTCTTAGAAATTTGCCTCTAGTCTTCCTTTTTTCTAGAATAGGCATATGTCAAAAAAAATAATAATAATAATCACCAATTCCATCATAGTGCATTCCAGCAGTAGATGTATAATATATAGGCTGGATAAAAAGATTTATAAATAATTTTCAGAACTTAGTATAATACATTCTCTCTTAATTCAATTTTTCAGTAATTCTGATGTTTTGCCAGATTTTAATTTAATTTTTGTCCACATTTTGTTTTGAATTTCCAGAGAGATTAATGTATCCTTTCAGGGTCTGTTTTAAAAGAGACAGCCAAGATAGTCACTAATCAACCAGTTCCAATGATGCTTCTGGAACCTGCAGGCAATGAAAACACAACTAGAGCCTCTTCAATTGGAGAGGCATTCCTTGATATTTTCAAAAGCTAAGATTGGTGTGGTAAATTCTGCCAGAAGCTGCACCAGTGGTAACATTCAAAGTCCTCTAAGATCTTGATCCACGTGCCATCTTTCCTAAATGTGAGTCCCTAAATATAACCATTCTGTTGGTGAAGTCCTTCATGACTTAGAGCATTTCTGATTTTCTATACAGGCCCTGCTGCCCTTTGAGGTCTCCAGGCCTGTTTTGTTTACTAGGCTATAGCAAATGCATTTTATATAAATACTTAAGTAAGATGATCCTTCTGCCCACATGGAGGGAATAGCTTAATCTCTAACAATAACAATAACAGGGCTCGTCTTTACTTTGGTAAATCCATTTCAGGCTTTATTAAAGGAAGGGTAATGACTTTGTGTGCTTAAGTTACTTTCATCTGTTTATATGATAAAAGTGCAAGATGCTAAATTCTAGGACGTTAGGTAGAGCCTGCATTGTCCCAGCTCTCTATACAGTGGATGAAACCTACAGGACAAACACTCTTTCAGTTCAGAGGTTCCTTGGAAATGTCCTATACACAGACATAAAAGTCAGAGTTGGCCTTCTTTTGGAGAGGCAGTGGATGGGTCCATCATGCTAACCCAGAACACAGTAACCCCATCAGCTCCCTGCTGGCCAGCAGCAGCAGATAGAGGAAACAGGATGTTTCAGGACTGAAGGCATATTTTTAAATAAAAGGCAGAAAACAAGATTAGGAATTGAAAGCTAAACGTCTCCAGCTGAGTCTAAAGAAGAGAGTCAGGAAAGTTTTTAAAAATCNTCATTACTTAAACCTTTTGGGGTGTGAAATGAGCTACAGTGCCTGGCTGCAGGATTTGCAGTGTGCATTATTATTCTTTTTAGCTTTAGTGTGTCCAAAGGTTTAAAACAGCCCTACCTAAGCTCCTGCTTCAGGGGAGAATTCTTATCACAGCAAATACAGTCTGAGGAGGGAGACAAAAGAGAAGAATCCTAAGCAGGGCCTGAGAGAAGAGGCAGAAGATTTAATACCATGCCTTTCAAAAGTCTATGATGACTTAACTTAGGGTTGTTAATCTTTTATTTTCCCAAGAACATTTTTAATGTATTATTTATTGCCTCGTCATTTCTTAAAATAAGAAATAGTTTGTTGTAAACTGCTGCTGCTGCTTTATATTCTGTTTACTATGAATACAGACTGGAATAATTTGTGTTGGCTAGAAAGGATGTGTCTTGACAGGATTTAAAATGCAGGTAATTCATCTCAAATCCCAAACTCTAACATACAGTGCTGACACCTGGAAAAATGTTTGCATAAACTTATGGTCTCTCTACACTATTCTTTAGGTTACCGATGACAATATTTGGCATAAAAATTTAATTATGTGAGAACTTCTTACACATTTTTTGAAAGAGTATTTTGTCCAGCTATTCTAAATAACTCAAGACAACATATCTACATCTGTTGTCTCATGTTAAGTTTGATACTAAAAATGTAGAATAGATAATCTCAGAATGTAAGGTTATGTACGTTTTCTTATCTTCTTCAGTTGTATATACCTTTGTACATATATGTGTGTATATATACACACACACGCACATATATATAGTTTTTTCTGCTGGATAGTTAAAACATCATCATGGAACAGCATTTGAGAATCCCAGGGTAGAACAATTGGCATTTACTGAGTATTCAGTATTCTTAGAAATTTGCCTCTAGTCTTCCTTTTTTCTAGAATAGGCATATGTCAAAAAAAATAATAATAATAATCACCAATTCCATCATAGTGCATTCCAGCAGTAGATGTATAATATATAGGCTGGATAAAAAGATTTATAAATAATTTTCAGAACTTAGTATAATACATTCTCTCTTAATTCAATTTTTCAGTAATTCTGATGTTTTGCCAGATTTTAATTTAATTTTTGTCCACATTTTGTTTTGAATTTCCAGAGAGATTAATGTATCCTTTCAGGGTCTGTTTTAAAAGAGACAGCCAAGATAGTCACTAATCAACCAGTTCCAATGATGCTTCTGGAACCTGCAGGCAATGAAAACACAACTAGAGCCTCTTCAATTGGAGAGGCATTCCTTGATATTTTCAAAAGCTAAGATTGGTGTGGTAAATTCTGCCAGAAGCTGCACCAGTGGTAACATTCAAAGTCCTCTAAGATCTTGATCCACGTGCCATCTTTCCTAAATGTGAGTCCCTAAATATAACCATTCTGTTGGTGAAGTCCTTCATGACTTAGAGCATTTCTGATTTTCTATATAGGCCCTGCTGCCCTTTGAGGTCTCCAGGCCTGTTTTGTTTACTAGGCTATAGCAAATGCATTTTATATAAATACTTAAGTAAGATGATCCTTCTGCCCACATGGAGGGAATAGCTTAATCTCTAACAATAACAATAACAGGGCTCGTCTTTACTTTGGTAAATCCATTTCAGGCTTTATTAAAGGAAGGGTAATGACTTTGTGTGCTTAAGTTACTTTCATCTGTTTATATGATAAAAGTGAAAGATGCTAAATTCTAGGACGTTAGGTAGAGCCTGCATTGTCCCAGCTCTCTATTCAGTGGATGAAAGCTACAGGACAAACACTCTTTCAGTTCAGAGTCAGATTTTAATTTAATTTTTGTCCACATTTTGTTTTGAATTTCCAGAGAGATTAATGTATCCCTTCAGGGTCTGTTTTAAAAGAGACAGCCAAGATAGTCACTAATCAACCAGTTCCAATGATGCTTCTGAAACCTGCAGGCAATGAAAACACAACTAGAGCCTCTTCAATTGGAGAGGCATTCCTTGATATTTTCAAAAGCTAAGGTTGGTGTGGTAAATTCTTTCAGAAGCTGCACCAGTGGTAACATTCAAAGTCCTCTAAGATCTTGATCCACATCCCATCTTTCCTAAATGTGAGTCCCTAAATATAACCATTCTGTTGGTGAAGTCCTTCATGACTTAGAGCATTTCTGATTTTCTATATAGGCCCTGCTGCCCTTTGAGGTCTCCAGGCCTGTTTTGTTTACTAGGCTATAGCAAATGCATTTTATATAAATACTTAAGTAAGATGATCCTTCTGCCCACATGGAGGGAATAGCTTAATCTCTAACAATAACAATAACAGGGCTCGTCTTTACTTTGGTAAATCCATTTCAGGCTTTATTAAAGGAAGGGTAATGACTTTGTGTGCTTAAGTTACTTTCATCTGTTTATATGATAAAAGTGCAAGATGCTAAATTCTAGGACGTTAGGTAGAGCCTGCATTGTCCCAGCTCTCTATACAGTGGATGAAACCTACAGGACAAACACTCTTTCAGTTCAGAGTGTTCCTTGGAAATGTCCTATACACAGACATAAAAGTCAGAGTTGGCCTTCTTTTGGAGAGGCAGTGGATGGGTCCATCATGCTAACCCAGAACACAGTAACCCCATCAGCTCCCTGCTGGCCAGCAGCAGCAGATAGAGGAAACAGGATGTTTCAGGACTGAAGGCATATTTTTAAATAAAAGGCAGAAAACAAGATTAGGAATTGAAAGCTAAACGTCTCCAGCTGAGTCTAAAGAAGAGAGTCAGGAAAGTTTTTACAGGACTGAAGGCATATTTTTAAATAAAAGGCAGAAAACAAGATTAGGAATTGAAAGCTAAAAGTCTCCAGCTGAGTCTAAAGAAGAGAGTCAGGAAAATTTTTTAAAACAAGATTAGGAATTGAAAGCTAAACGTCTCCAGCTGAGTCTAAAGAAGAGAGTCAGGAAAGTTTTTAAAAATCTTCAATTAAGGCTCACAGTTGAGGACATGGATATAACAGATTTTCAGGAAAGTGAAAGCCAAGGGGCTTAGATGTCTTTAGTCCCACAGAAGTGTCTCTTCAACCCATGGTGGCTTATCAATTGATCCTTACAAGTCCAGGCTACATACTCCCTCTTTTAGAGCAATCACGTGGCTTCTGGCTTTAAATTGGGGCTTGTTGGCTTTGAATTGAATGCAATATCTAGAACAAAGCAACATTTTGAATGGCAAACACTGAAGATCCTCTTTTTCTATGTTGTTTTTAGGTGACATGCATTTTTTTAAAAGATAAATTACACCCGACAGGAGAAAAGCTTAATATATTATGGTGCAGCAATTCTTTGAAATTGTCATTCAAATTGGTCATTATGGAAACTATTGGACAACACAGAAAAGTCAAATGGGAAAAAACGAAATCAGACAGTCAAGTAACATATGCAATGACTTTAACTTTGTAAATAATATATGAGAATGCAAACAAGGACTAGAGGTATTACACAAAAATTAAAATTACATTACATATCATTATCGGTAATTCTACCAATTTGCACCATCTTTCAGATAACAAAACATTTAAAGTTTTGTATTAAATGTTAGTCTCTTTGTATGGAATTCCATAATTTCTTTCAATATCCACAACATTAAAGAACTAAATGTGTAACTTATGGCTTTCTGTGTGTTTTTCTTTTGTCTGTATGTCTTTCTTTCCTAGGACTGGAAACTCATCAGAGCCAATCTCCTCTACTGGAGGTGGACCATTTGTAAAATTAAACACAGCACCTAATGGCAGCTTAATACTAACACCCAGGTGGGTCCTGAAATCTGTTCTTGGACTAGTTGTACGTGAACTAGAAAGAAAACAGATTTTCAAGGTCAGTCAGATTTGAATTCTACCACATACTGGCCACATAATCTTGAAGGTTATTTAACTTGTTTTATTCTTCATGTATAATCTCAAACAGTATCTAATTGATCTCATATGGGAATATTGCCTAAGTCTCAGATCTATGATCAACTGAGGCGCTGATATGTAATGGTCTGGCACACTGACGGGGACCGATAAGTTTTAATTCCATACCCTTTTTTAGTGTCAGACCCATAAACAATTAAATCTCATAGGAAAAAAATGTTGATCAGAATAAAGAGAGTGGCACAAATTAGTTACCATCAAAAGAGAAGAAAGAGAGGGAAAATCATGATATTCCTTTCTTTTCCTTAGTAGATAGAATGTGAATATTAAATGAAGGAGTCTAGACTTCTAGTTCTGCCAACATATTCTTTCTTGCTTTTGAAAATTAAGTTTGCTTTTGTAGCCTTTACTAAGGTGTTAAAAAGAAACATGCTTCCTGTATTCAAAGATCTGTTTTAGCTTAGATTGTGTCATTTCTTCTCTTTTTGTGTTAATGATGATTTTTGTTGAAACTGGCTTCTGAATTTTGCAGTTCCGTCAAAGGACAGCTGTAGATGGGAAGAAGGTAACTGCAAAAAGAAGCCATAACTGTAGACAAGGGTTTAAGATGCTATTGTTGGTGTATTTCATCTAACATACTTAATGGTAAAAAATGAAACTGTATAATTATTCAGCTAGTCATAAAAAAATACCATTTCTGTGAGCTCAGCAAGTAAAACAAATTATAAAGAAGTATTTTTAATACCACTGAAAAGATTTTGCAACTGAATGTTTTACATTGATGTTTGCTGGGCCTTGACTGATATTATGAGTCTCATTGGGGATGAAGCAAAGTATCTGCAAGTGAGAAAACAGGCTTCTCCTTCTATAAAGATGTCCATATTTTCATTATCACTAGAAATCTTGAGAACGACTGTACATTGAGAAAACATTGAGAAATTTTCATATTCATGTCTTATAAACATTTAAGAATTAGTAAAAAAAAGCAAAGGAAAAAAATTTTAAAACCATTCATCTTAATTATATGTGTGTTTCAGAGCAGAACTAAGTTATTCCATGCTTATCAACAAAATGCCAGTATCATCTTACCCTATTACAATAACATTACCCTTATACATATAATAGTGATGTCATTATTATATGTATGTTCATGTTTTTTGAAAGAGACACCATTTATAGACATATTTTTAAGCTTTTATCACACTAACAAGCCAGTTAATTCATTGTCCTCTTAATCCCTTCCTTAATTAGCCACATTATACTGAGTTGGCAGAAAATCAAATATATGATTCATTCATTCATTCATTCATTTGCTTTGTGGATTTCATTATGTTTATTGCCCTCTGAAAATCAATGCTTCTGAAAATACACTTGCACTAATGGTTATAATGAGAAATAGGTAAAGAAAGTGTATGTCAGAGAAAATGATCCTCCCTACTATGAAAACCTATTGACCCAAATCCCCAATTTTCATCCTATTGTAAGGCATAGGCAAGATTCAGACCACTATTTCCCACTAGTGGGAGAATACCACCCAATGTGATACCAGCAGTCTCACCTGATAAAACTAGAAACGTTGTACAATTCATGCAGCTGCCAATACTAGACTCTCCTTTCTCTCAATTCTTTGGACCATTTCATTAGTAGTTCTATAAGTCAATGGAAATTTTACTTAGAATATATTGATCAACCAAATGTTCTAAGGATACAAAGTGCTTATCAAGCATTTTATTGAATGCCCATCATGAGACAGACATCGTGGTAGGAATATTACAGAGGTTACTTCTAATCCAGGCAAGAGCTCTATGACTTAGGTGGTATTGTTTCACTGTAACGATAAGGGAAGCATGCCCGGTGTTGACCGGTGCACAAGTTCACAAAGCTAGTAGGCAACGTGAAGATTCTAAGCTAAGGTCAATTTGACTTCATAGTTTTCTACCTTTCCATTCTAACATGCTCTGTTCTAAATTTCCCAAGGCAGCAACTCACTTTAAATAGCAATTCTGGAAAGGAGAAAGAAAGAAAAAGCATGAACTTTTCAACAAGAAAAAATGTCATTTTGTTGGGAATAAATTGGGAGAGAAATTAGTTCTTTTTTGTCAATATGGTAGATATAAACTCATCCGTCTATATCACAGTATTGCCCACTGGGCTGAGAAATAGACACCGGATCATGACATTGTCATTCTTCCTGTACAAAAAACTAACCTTGCTCTGACTCCAGGACCAAAGATCAAAACCATAATTCTATTTCTCCCAATTTCTGTAAATATTCCTGGACAAAGTATAGATTCATGCTCATTCTGACTAGAGATTAAATAACTTACTTCTCTACCATGAAACACTGCATATGCATGTTTGTGTATGAAAATTTTGTTTAACCAAAATGCATGGAAAAAAAGGTACTAAATTCAGTTGAATTTTCTGGTTATCTATTAACTTATCTAGAAACTTTTCAGTCCTCACAAAATAAATGATAATAATTATTTAAAAATGATAAAATAATCAGTTTTATACATACTGAGCATTTGCTTAATCTTTCTAGACCATTAAAAATACTTTAGAAAATGAACCATTTTGAATATGGATTTTCACTGATGAGTACTGTGGAAAAGAAAAGAGTTGGGAAACTTGACAATATACAAGAGAGTGCATCCTAGAAACTACTTCTCTATCAACCTCAAATAGATAACAAAAGAGGAATTAATTGAGGCTTCCTCTTTGGGGCATTATGGATACATATTGATATATCTCTATCTATACATACATGAACATTGGTCATTAAAAAAAAGTCCTTATATTTTAATTGAAATTTTTCTCTATTCTAAGGGATATGCCAAATCAGACAACATGAATGCATGTGTTCAAATAAATTTTATGCATATTCCATAAACACTGAATTGCTTTGATTGGACGTATGCATCTTAGGTCTTGTTTTGTATTTATTTTATTTTGTTTTTCCCTAAAAATTAAAGCACCTAAACAAAATACACAAGTAGATGTAGTTACACATGTAAACATAGGTCATTAAATTTATATGTGTGTGTACATGTGTAGGTATGTCTTTTAATGTGACCAATATCTGTAATACCTGCATTAGGAAATAGTGTGGGCAAATGCTTTAATGCCTTGTGTTATACTGATCTCTAGTGGTTAGTGAGCATAACACATTGTAAAACAAAATTTCTTTATTTATTTTAAAAAGTTATTTTTGGCTTTGAAGAAAGTTAGTATCCAAATTTTTAAACAGGTAATGAGTTTTCCAGTAATTTATGTCTATGCTTTTATATATATATATATATTTATTTGCTATTTATATGTCTGGCTCCGTTGAAAACAAGACCTGTGATTCACTAATCTGTCGCTTCCCTGAAAAAAGTAACACAGTGTTGGGCACTGAATAGTTACGGGATTGGCAATACTGAGGCATAACCTATATTATTTAAGAATGAAATCAATGTTGGCTCAAGCAAAATAGTAATATCTATCATTTATCAAGTATTCGTTGTGTATAAGACACAATAATAATTTCATAAAATATTTCATTTAATTCTCACAAAATTCCAGTAAGTACTATTGCCCTCATTTTGTGGATGAGGAAACTAGGTCTCAAGGATATTGAGCAATTTATCCAAATTCACACGAGGAGTAAGGGGTAGGGTAAGATGTAAGCTCAGCTCTGTTTGATCTTAAACTGGGACTTTTTCTGCTTGCATTTCAGTCTCCCTGCATTTCGTATTTGATACTTACATTAAGTAGTTTATTTTACTTTTTAATTTATCCAAATTCACACGAGGAGTAAGGGGTAGGGTAAGATGTAAGCTCAGCTCTGTTTGACCTTAAACTGGGACTTTTTCTGCTTGCATTTCAGTCTCCCTGCATTTCGTATTTGATACTTACATTAAGTAGTTTATTTTACTTTTTAAAAAAAGTAGAATAACATACACTATGTTTTACTTTAAAATACTAACTGCACAATTTTTGAAATAAAATTGTTCTTCTGTTACAGTCAACAGTGTTCACAGGATTTGCTGATTCTGTTACAATGTAACCATAAATGTAAGTAAATACTGTGTCACGTTTTCCTTCAAGCCTTCAATATTAAAATTCTAGATAGAGTTTGTATACCACCTGAAGTTATTTTGTCACCTTTTGTCACCACTCAACTTTCATGGGTAGAGTAAATCCACTGAAATAAAATAGTGCCCTTTCTACAATTATTTTAATAGCATGTGGACAAAAACTGGTGGCTCAAGAAGTCAGCCCGAAGATTGTTGGAGGAACTAATGCCAAAGAAGGGGCCTGGCCCTGGCTCGTTGCTCTGTATTATAACAGCCAACTGATCTGTGGCGCGTCTCTCGTCAGCAGTGACTGGCTGGTGTCTGCCGCACACTGCGTGTATGGGTGAGTATGATGTCACGTGTCCCTTCTTAAACAAAATTACCACAGCAGACACTGCCTAGCATCCCATTTCATGCACGTCCACAAAACCATCCCACCAGGGAAGTGTTCCTGCTGTTTATGACATTATAAACTTTCCAATCATTTTTCCACTAAAATCATGTAAAAATTTTTAAAATTCAGTTAAAAAATCATTCTTCATTAGACACTTGTATCAAGCATTATGTTTTCTACATACATGAAGATTGAAAGTTTTACCTATTCACAAGGTAAGCAATTTCAAGAGTGTAAAATTAGTGTTTGTTATATAAATTGTTCTGGTTATCATTCAATTAGTCCAATATTTATTGTTAGAAAATTGTCAGTGTCAAAAAGCATGCATAGGTAGTCTTCAAGCTACATACATATTCTAGAAGTTAATGCATAAGTATTTTGTGGTGAATGAGAGTTAAAATATTTACTTAGTTCTCAAGTCATAGCTATTTTGATGCTATCTGTAACTAAAACTTACAACTAATATCAACCTGTCTAACTCTGCTTTTATAACATAATAGGACAAAATACTAGTTGAATTCTAGGTCTCATTTTTTGTGTGTCTAGAAGCAGCCACTCCTCACACAGTGACACAGGAGAGAACAGAGTATGTGGAAGGTGGCAGGGGGGAAAGAAGGAGAAAATAATTTATCCTGGGCCCAAAGCATGTTAATTCTTTACTTCCTAGGGACATCTTTGGGTATTCACATTCCAACAGTCCTGAATTAGGTCAGAAAAAAGGTAGCTTCCTCACAGAAGGTATATGAAGCTGACCCAAGATGGATTTTCTGTCCCTAACTGAGCAGGCGTGTCCTCAAGAGAATAACCTTATCTGTGGCGATTAGAATGAGCCTCTCTGGCACAAGAACCATGTGTGCTCAGGCATGAAAGAGTGTCTGCCATGAGATTAGGTTAAAAGACAACTTTCTCTTCCAACACAAACATTGAACTTCATTGGGTAAATACAGATTGCCATACATTGTTTTATGGGAGATAGGAAGAGCCAGGGAGAATAAGCATTAAAGGATAGAGCCTACTCCTAAACACCCATTATACCAGAGTGAGAGGAGACTCATGCATAAGCCTAGGAATCAGAACAATGAGGATCCTTGGCCAGGTTTTCACTGGCCAACAAGCTGGTCACCAAAGGAGCTATCCGAGGTACTGTCTCATCTACTTCTAAAGCTGCATTAGAAGTAGATGCTTGCAAACATTGAGTGCTATATCTAAAGTGCACCCTCTTGACTTTGTTGCATCCTGATAATTATATTTTACTGTTTTCAATCACACCGTAACAAATGACTACAGTAGGCAATTTTCCATCCCCTGCTAAACATGGCTTTAACATTTACATCCATACATATTCTCTGCCTTGGGCATGGCAAAGATGGGTAATATCTGCATCCTAACTGAGTTGCAAATAAAGGCTATTTTTAGCTAAAGATTCAGTGTTTTCTGTTACACATAGGTAGGTCTTAGTAAGTTAGCAATGTTGCTAAGTTAACTTCAGATTTGGTAAATTCCTGTGTTTGATGTTCTAGAAGAACATATACTTTCTAAATGTCAACCAGGCTTGCAGTAATATCACAGACATCTTTCAATTATCTACCTTACAGAGGTACTTGATCTTATAGGCCAATGATACCAACATCATATCTTTTCATATCACAAATATACAAAGGAAATACAAAGGTAGTTTCATCTAATATAAACACATGTTCAATCACATAGGACATAAAATGTATTTCACACAGCTTCAATTTGAACATAAGCAAACAAAGGTAAGCCATACTAAAATTGTGATGGATTCAAAATTATCCTTGCCAACTTTGCATTTTACTCTTCCTAGCACTCCATGAAATGGTTTTTTTCTCTATTTGCCAAGAGTTTTTCTACTTTCTACTTCATGTATCTAACAAAGCAAGAAAGTTTCTGGTATTATTTTATGTAGTTTTATCAAAAAAAAATATTTTACAAGTATGCTAATGCTGCCTGTTATTTGTCTTTTTAAAGCACTAATTGTGCAGTGAAAAGCTCAATTTCCTAATAAATAGAATAACCCAGATCAAGCAACTTATTGAGCTCATACTACACAAATGGCTTGTGTTCCATGTAAACAAACCTTTTCCAGGTGTTCTAACCTGCAGGTGGTTAAATGGTTTAATGGGGCAGCTCCTCTCTATCTCTAATCTTATTATCAACACTCCTATTGGCATTCCTCAAGCTCAGTGCTCCTGAATGGTCCTAAATATCGCTGTGCCTGTTCTGTTCCTCTGTCACTGACTTGTCTCCTTTCACAACCTTAAAGAGAGATTGGGAAAAGTGAAGGCCAATTTTGTCATGGTTTAAAGGGGAAGGTTTACTTTGAACCAGAGGGCAGGATTTTGATCCTGTATATGCTATGACCTCATGTATGATTACAGACAAGCAACTTAGTATCTCTGTTTCTGTTTCCTCATCTTTAGGCTGGCCATAAGGACAACTACCTTCTAAGGTGGTTCTCAGGACAAAATTAAGATGCTGCCACACTTTTGCATACCGTGAATAATACAAATGTGCAATAAAAATTTTATCTTGTTGCCGTTCCTGCATAGGGAAGTTCTGTAAAAGAAATACATGTTCAGCATATTTATTTTCTAAATTTTTATATTGATATAATGTCAAACATGCATAAAATTGCAAGAATAGTACAAAGAACTTTCTTATATCTTTACTCAGATTCACCAATTGTTTACGTTTCACTCGGTATCCTTTGTTATTCTCCATTTCTCTCCAAATCTGGCCACATATTTTTTTCTGAACCATTTGGTGGTATATTAGATATTGTGCCCCTACCCTTAAATACCTTTGTGTATTGTTCCTAAGAACAAGAATATTTTCTTATATAATCACAGAAAATCATGAAAATTTTAAATCAGTACAATTATCTAGTCAGTTGCCCCAGTATACCCTTTATTTTGTATATTTTTCCATGCAAGAACCAGTTCAGGATAATGCACTGTGTTTAGTTGCTACACCATTTTTATCTTCTTTAGTCTGGTATAGCCCCTCTGTTTTTCTGTCTTTCTTTCCTTTGGTATTTTATAATACAGGCCCGTTATTTTGTAGTAAGTCTTTCTATCTGGGAAATCCCTTCAATCTTGCTCCTTTGCTGGTCTAGATACATCCTCATTCTTTGATAACTTCTTTACTTTTCAGCAAAATAAAATATTCCAAGTAATCTTGTACTTTTCCTGCCTTAGCCCTCAAGTCAATCTTTCTATAAGAAGCCCCACTTCTATGTAACTAATTTTAGTCCTTTCTACACTTTAGTAAACAAGATCTTGTGTGCTCATGGCTACCACTGGTGTGTCCCACTCCTAAACCCTTGCAATGCACATACCTATATACCTATAAATATGAACTTGAAATAGTAACTCCAATTTAAATTAAACACCACAGGGTACATTCTGACTTCGTTGTCTTCTGTATTTGTAACTTTTGACTCCAATAATAATAAATCTTGTTCCTACTATCCACAAACTATTTACAAAAAAAATAATAATAATAATGCATTCTACTGTATAAAAGCAAACTTACCAACCAGAATTCAATATTGTTTTCCATTCTTTTTTCTCATGACATATGACAAAATGCATAATCTTAAGTGTACAATTTGATGTGTTTTGAAAATAAATACACCTATCAAACCACCACTCCTATCAAGATATAAAATATTTCTATCACCCAGAAAGTTTCTTTTTTTACTCTATTTTCAGTTACTCACCATTCTTGCTTTCAGATGCAACCACTGTTGAGTCACTTGGGTAGGCAGTCATGTATAGATTTACAATCTGGATCACTTTCATTGAATAGATATATATTAAAGATAAAATTAGCCATAGAGACATTCCTGCCAATCTCTCATTCTTTAATTTAGTTCTTCAGAGCAGACCAAGTATATCACATGAATTATCTCATTTCGAGAAAACAATTCCTTGAGACAAGAGTTAACATTCCTGAAAGAGATTATTTCATATATGAGGTGTTTGGGGGTGTAGTGAGAAATACACACTATATATTTGTTTTTTATTTAATACTAAATTTATTAAACTGATATAACTAATAAAACTTTGAAAACCTACTTTTTAATCAGTTAAGCATTGTTTACAAAATAGCATTATTTATTTAATTGATACTGCAATTAAAATTTTAAAATTTGAATTCTTTCAAATTCCTCAAACACTGTAAACAACACAGAGAACATACACAAATACAATAATTTTTAAAAAATTAATTTCTACTTAAATCTCTAAAATATAAACATCATGGGTTTAATTTTATTTCTTTGTCTATTTAGCTGTCTGTCTTATGGCTTTAGGGAGTGGGGCTAATAACTAATATACTACCTTCTTGCTATCTTCTTCAGGTTGTAGAAATATTATAATACAATTTCAATATTATAGTAAATTTTGTAGATCAAAAGGAGGAAAAACATTTTCTTAGAACATTAGAGATTTCAAGGTTAGGTTAGTGACATTGATTTTATGTTAGGGCATAGGTTTTGTGTCCCTTTCTACAGTATTTCAAGTTTGAGCTGTTAGTCATCTTTTTGAAAGTTAAAATTCTCTTACTGTATCACTAGAATTTTTTATATTTATGCCTTTCTCATAGGTTTTATCAATTTCCAACCTTGTGTCTCTCCCTTAAAATTATTTATTCTTTAAATTTCTCTTGACCCATATTACATGGCCCATTTCCTTGACAGCATTCTATTAGCAATATTGTTACTGACATATTTATTTTTAGCCAGAATCTCATTCTGATTATTACTTCACCCAGAAGTTTTGTTTCCTAGAAGTTCCGGTATCAGATCTTTGAAGATACCTCTACTGTAGAACTAATTATTCACCTTGAATCACATCGTTGAGTCCTCTTTTTCCTTAGTTATTTTGTGTAACCACTTGTGCTGATGTAGCTTGATATACAAC